CCCCAAAACCCCAAAACCCCAAAACCCCAAAACCCCACATAAAGCAACAAGACTTGAGAGAATAAATAATATACATATGAAGTCCACTCGGATGACAAGTAAACCCAAGCGCACAAGTAACAGGGCTTGGAGCTTTGTAGTGGTAAGGAAGTCTAGGCGGTCGACTTTAAGGCGGAGGGAGATTAGGAGTGAGGGGAGGGGAATGTACCGATGACGTCATAGGGTGGGGGTAGGAAAGAGGTTTTGGCAGGTAAAGTATTGTGAGTGGGTAGGATTTGAGATAGGTGATAGGTCTAGTGGGGATTGGTGAAGGATAAATTCAGAGATAGTGATTTGAAATGTTCTTGAAGGTATTTTGAGTGACTATCCAAAATTTGCATTAGGAAATTTATCAATAAAAATGGAAGTAAAATGGAAGTCTGTATTTATTCATAGCTTTGTTTGATATTTATCAAAATAAATTTTTAGGCAATCAGATAGTAGAATTGAGATCTTGCCTATATTTTCTTAATGCTTTAAGCTAAATGTATCAATAATTTACCAATTTTTCTCAAAATGTTATTAATTATCAAAAATGGGATTGGTAGTTGACGTCATCACTCCAGCCATGATTTTGTATATTATATAAATGCTATCTACTTGGCCTATTTATAGTTTTTAGAGGAAACAGGATGCATATCCTAACTTTTTACCTTAGCGTTATCTTCTTTATAGCTCCTGCTGAGTATCTGAGCAATTTCAGGGTACTGATTAGGCAGTTGTGGAAATGGAAGTAGAATTGCTTTAGCAGAAGAATGCGATGATGGAAATAAAAACGATGGAGATGGCTGTAGTTCTGAGTGAAAGCTTGAAACTGGATTTGATTGTTACGGGCTAGGAATTGCTCAAATGGCGGTTTGAACCCCGACTTGAGGAGATTCTACGATTAGAGGCAGAGAAACTTGCGATGATGGAGGAGAAATTAACGGTGATGGGTGTGATAGTAATTGACATTTAGAACCAGGCTTTGAATGCTCTGGAACTCCATCTGTTTGTAATTTAAAATGCTCAAATGGATCTATAAACCCTGGAGAACAATGAGATGATAGAAATGATAACAATGGGGATGGATGTAACTCAAACTGACAAATAGAAACTGGATATGAATGCTTCGGATCTCCCTCATCTTGCAACTTATTATGCTCAAATGGAGTCGTTGATGCTGGTGAGCAATGAGATGATGCAAACACAAATAACGGGGATGGATGCAACTCAAATTGACAAATAGAAAATGGGTATGAATGCTCAGGATATCAGTCATCATGAAATTTGATCTGTTCCAATGCAAGAGTTGACTCAAGAGAAACCTGTGATGACGGAAACTTAGCAGATGGAGATGGGTGTTCTTCTACATGACAAATTGAAATGGGATATGAGTGTACTGGAGCTCCATCACAATGAAAGGAAATTTGTGGAGACTCACTTATTATTGGAAATGAGCAATGTGATGACACTAACACAGATTTTGGGGATGGCTGCTCTGATCTCTGTAAAATTGAAACAGGCTTCAGCTGAACTGGGCAACCATCTGTTTGTATAGACATTTGTGGGGACTCAAGAATTGTCACGCAAGCCCAGCAATGTGATGACGGAGGAAACTATGACAATGATGGGTGTTCTCATAGCTGCATAATTGAGATTGGCTGGGAGTGAAACGGAGTTCCATCTGACTGACACCCCATATGCAGCGATGGTTTGATCAAAGGTCAGGAACAATGTGATGATCAGAACCTTGTAGACAATGATGGCTGCAACCATCGATGAATAATTGAGCAAGGTTGGAACTGCACTGGGGTATCTTCAATCTGTGTCCCCATATACTCTGATGGGATTATTGTTGGAGATGAACAATGAGATGATGGAAACACCAATGATAATGATGGGTGCACTATAATGAGCAAGCAACAAGACTTTTACAATTGAACAGGCCAGCCTTCAGTATGAATCAAAACTTCTTCGACTTCACTTTCGGAATCACAAAAGCTGGTTGGAAACTCAATCAAAGGTGGCATTGCAGCTAGCTTTGCCATAGGGATGGTAGTATCACTTACATTGAATGTTCCAACTTCATCACTGTGGAGCTTGATTAACACTCTGCAAATCTTACACTATGTGCCGATGTTTAATCTCTACTTCTCAGCAAGCATTCTCAAAATGTTTAGTTTCACAGGGATCTCTAATATGCAAGTTGAGTACTTGTCATCACTATTCCTGATGCACATTGACGAAGGGCAGCTTGCACATCACACTGAAGTGACTTATAGACATGCAAACCAAGGATATGAGTCAACAAGCATTTTGCTAAACTCTCCAGACACTCTAAGCCTATTGATATTACTGAGTGGATACTATTTTGCCATATTTATTCTCTATCTACTAATGAGGATCACAAGAATCAACTATGAGAACGCTAATTGGATAGTTAAGTATCCATGCAAATTCGTTGTCAAAGAATGTGAGAGCTTTTGGTTCAACTCCTTGATCAGAATTGGATTTGAAATATTCTTGGATTTGATGTTTTCAAGTATACTGAATCTGCACTATTTCAGTATTCTTAATAAATCTGACATATACTCTTCGTCAGTGGCAACATTTTGTTGAGTATGCTTGGCTGTATTTGGAACATTGGTCATTTTGGTATGAATCACAAAGATGAGAACCCCTATACATATTCCAGCAATCACATTTGGGGAGGTCCAGAAAGGGAAACTTGACATTCTGTTTGCAGACATTAAGCCAGAAAGAAGGCTTCCACCATTTGTGCATATTGCATTTTTGCTCCAAAGATGAATCCTAATTTGGCTCATAATTTTTGGGTATTACTTCAATTTACAATAAATTAATTAATTTTTGCTAATTTTAAATCTCTAATTGACATTAGGACTTCAGGATTGACTCAAGTGATTGTATTTGGAGTTGCATGCAGTTTGAAATTTGTATACATAGTAATTTGCAGACCATCAAACAATCCATGATCAAATTTTCAAGACTCGGTTTATGAATTGATATTATCAACCATTGTGCTTTCGTTCACACAATTTACCAAATCCTCCACAGAATTTGCTACAACAGTAAGGTCTTTGTTAACAAAATAGGGAAAACCTGCAATAATAGGGTACATTTGCATATCATTGGTTGTGTTTACTATAATCTTGCACTATCTGATTGTTATTCAACAGATTTTGCTTAAATTTACTCGAAAGCCAGTAAAGACCAAGCAAAACTCTCAAAAGAATTCCTATATAAAAACACAGAAAGGTAGAAAAGTTACACCAGTAACAGTTATGAGGCCAGTTGAAACTTCTCAGAAGATATCTAAAGGTAACTTAACTGATTATTTTTCTTCTAATTTTTTGCTCAAACTTATACTTTATATTTCTAAACTAACTAAAATTTAGTGTCTGCTTCAAATATTTTGGAGAGATATATAGACCGGAGCACTACTCCAAGTAACGTTGTTTTGAAGAATTAAGTAAAAGACCTTTTCGCTTTAAAAATCTAAAAATATATATTCTATCTTTTCAACGCTTTAAGAAGTACCTGGGGTTTTGGGGTTTTGGGGTTTTGGGG